CCTGCTGCCGGGGAATAGCCTTCCACTCACCTCCACCATTTATGGGTCCTTCAAATCCCATCTCAACCACCTTCTCGTACATGTTCCACAGGCCCCTCTTCTGAACCCCAATAGCTGACCCCGTTCTACCTTGTATTGTAGCTCAAGGTGTGTTCACCTTATTTTATTGATTCAATGGTAAGCTTCCTGGGGGTCAAAGTTGTTTTTTATTCATACTTGCTTTCTTTGTAATGGCCAGAGTTTGGAAGAAAGTCAAATCTTTGAATCAAATATTGGAAATCCCTAAAAACCCAAGGGAATGAAGTTTTAATGAAACAGACTCTGTGAGGGGTGGTAGGACATAGGTGATCACGGTGGATGCTTAACTAAACTTAGACCTGAGAGGGAAGTGGGATTGGGTAGCCGTGGAAAATGTCTAGGAGTGAAGGGTACCTAAATTGTACCCCTGCAGTCTGTCCTGAGCAATACGACCCTTCTAGCCAGAGGTGTCCTTGCTCTGGGCCTGGTCCTCCTCCACTTGTGCCCATCTCCACAGGGTGAGGAGTTCAAGGCCCAAAAGGATGTGCCTACTCCAAGCCCACACCCACACCCCCTCTTCTAGACCTCAAATTCCCTGTCCAAATGTCTCTGGAACCACCTTCAATGACTGTGTGAGATTCTATCCTGGGTCTTCTATCCTAGGGTGACCCCTTGGCCTATAAAAGGGTGGCTACAGGTGGCTGTTTGGGAAGGAGATGGATGGAGCTTATACACGCAAGCTGGGTCATCCCCCATGTATATACCAGGACCATTGTGGAGTGGGCAGGAGCCAGGGATGAGAACAGAAAGGAGAGAGGCCAGAGGATAGAGGCAGGAAACTTGGAGCCATTTTTCCCTGCACAGCCATGTATTAGAGTGGACATCCAAGGAGTGTGTACGTTTGTCAAGATAGGGGGATACTTTATTCAACAGTTTTTTAGCCCGATAATTAACTTTAAAATATTTAGATGTATGATATTTGGGTCTTATTTGTATTCCTGCCCCAGGTCCTGCAAATATGGGGGTGGTCCTGGTCCCAGAGCCCAGTGCATGAGGCACAGACTATAGGCCACATCGCCTGGGGCCCTAAGTGGAGTTCCGTAATAAAGCAAGGCAGTAGCATAGGGTATACACTTTCAAACTTTTTTTACCTTGACCCATAATAATAATAATATACACACTTGATGCTTTGACCCAGTACACATACGCATACCTAAAATTTGTTCTTGATTCTTTAATATGGGGATGACTTTGGGGCTTCAGCACTTGGACGGATGTTGGTGCTATTTTTGGAGATGGGAACAGCTTGTGAAGGAACAGGCTTTGGAAGAGAAATCAAGAGGGTTTTGTTTGTTTGTTTTTGCCATTTAAGTCTGGAAAATATCTTATATGTTTGAGTGAAGTGCAAGAGCAGGTGTCAAAAAGGCAAGTCTGGAGCCCAGAGGTAAAGACAAGACTGGAGCTCCATATTATGGTGAGATCTATATAGAGCCGGTATTAAAAGCCATGGAAGTAAATGAGCCAGTGTGGGGGGAAGCAAGGAGGACAGAGAAGAGAGCAGGCGCAGCGTCAGGCGCAATGCTGACAGAGAAGGGGAAGGAAGGAAGGAGGAGGAGGAGGACTAAAGTGAACAGGTAAAGAGAGATAAGTCAAGAGATTGCAAAGGAACAGCCATCGAGAGTGTAATGTCGAGGAAGCCAGGAGAGGAAAGCGTTTCAAGGCAGGAAGGCTCAATTCCACCAAACGCTGCCAGGAGAGCAAGGAAAAAAAAAAGATAAAGAAGTGACCATCCAACATGGCAACAAGGAAAGTTTTGGTGACCTTGACCGGAGCAGTTTCAGTGGAATACTGGAGCCATAATTCTGACAGATGAAGGTGGAAGAGGAATCGGGAGATGGAGGAGTGGATTCAGTGATTTTGAGAAAGTGAACAGAAGAGGGGTGGCAGATGAAGGGGAGGGGAGAAGTCAACCAAGGGTTTTTCCAATATGGACCATATCAGGGCGTGTGTGTAAGCCGTGGCAATGCTGGAGGGGAAGAACCAGTGAGACAGACAGAGAAAGGGGGTGATCGCAGAAGACATGCTCTAAAGAAGGTGATGGGATGGATTCAGGGTAAAGGTGAAAGGACTGGCTTTTGAGAGGAGGGGGACACTCCGTCCACAGCGACAGGGCCGAGGGCAGACAGTGGGCCCAGACACACACAGGTTAGTGTGGGCAGAAGTGGGAAGGAGCATAGGATGCTTCCCATCCTTTTAAAAAAATCCACGCTCCATTGGATAAACATAAAACTCTCAGGTCAGCTCCCTTCTTCCAGAGATTCTGCTGTGACTTGAATCGATAGGGTCCTCATCGATTTTCCCACCTAGAAAATCACTGCTACACGGAATCCAAAGTCTAGTCCCAGAGCACTGCCACCAGCCAAGGCCTTGGGGGCCTTTACCTTATTTTGCATTATGAAAAAAAGATGTTTTCCGTGTTCCAAATTGGATATTTATATCCAACTATATGTTGGGAGTGACTTTTTAAGCTACATATATCCCTTTCCCCTACCATCACCACTGAAAATCAAATCACCAACTTAGAGATTAATGACACTTAGTTAGCAGCCTCTCTAAAATGTCAATATTAAACAGCTTGGTTCCTTTAGATACCTTCTCCCACCGCTTTCTTTTTCCCCCTGAATCATTTGGAAATGTAGTTAAGGGGTCCAGAATTGCAAAAATTCAAGGGCACCTGGGATGCTTATCTAAGAATGCAGATCCATAGGCCCCATCCTAAGCAGATATAATCACATTGCTTAAGGGCAGGACCAGGTTATCTGTATCCTAGCAAGTTCCCCCAAAGGAGTCTTATGCACACTGTGCCTAAGTTCTAAACCTGGAGGTTATATCTATCTTTTTTTCTACTTGGGAAATCTGCTTTTGGTTAGAAGCTACTATGAACTCCAAGGAGAATGGGATCTGGTCATTTTCATCTCACCCATTAGTGCTTCCTTGGGACCAGAGTTCAGTGTACCCAGCAGCTTTCCTTGTGCTTCATCCACCCGAAGTTTGCACAATAAGGATGTCTTAGTCAGCTCCAGCTGCTGTAACAAAATACCATAGACTGCATAGCTTAAATAACAGACATTTATTTCTCACAGTTCAGGAGACTAGAAGTCCAGATCAAGGTGCTGGCAGATATGATTCTCTGTGAGGGCCCTCTTCCTGGTTTGCAGCCGTCTCCCTGTGTGCTCACATGGTCTCTTCTTGTGCACATGGAGAGAACAAGGACACTAATCCCATTATGAGGGCTGCATCCTCATGACCTCATCTAACCCTACTTACCTTCCAAAGGCCCCACCTCGTAATACCATCACTTTGGGGGTTGGAGTTTCAACACATGAATTTTGGGGAGATACAAACATACAGTCCATAACAGAGGATCTGGGCAAGCCAGGGGGTTACCAGCAGCTCATCGCTGAGCAGAGAGAGGCCACTGGAGGCACCTGCACAGGTGATGACCCCTCTCTGCTCTGTCTTGCGCTTGCCCATTTTACAGCATCTCACCCTTGAGAAAGCAGCAGGCATGCCCTTTTCTGGCTGGGTTGGTCCAAAAATGTTTGCATGCTCATTCTCAGGTGCTGGGCTTTACACACAGGTATAGTGCTTCTGGACATACAGGGGATTCGCCTATCCCCTTGGTTGGGTGTTTGTCCTTTGATGGGTCACCCTTCCACTGGCACGTTCCAGTCACAGGGCTACCTCACACGTCTGTTTCCAGGGGATTTAAAGCAGTGTTGGGTTGTTCATGAAGGGTTTCCATGTCAGATCACACGTGTCTGGTGGGGTCCTCTTCTCCCCACCACACTGACGAGCTACACTTTCAGATCCTAACATACTCCTGTAAATGTCCCCAGCTAGCCCCTCTCTAGCCTCCTCTACCCCCATCTCATGTTCCCATCATTGTTTCTGTTGTCCACATTCTTCCCTCTCCCCAGAATATCCTCCTCGACTCTCTCTGCTCATCTAGGAGGCTCCAGCCCCACTTCTTTCCTTGACGCTATTCTTTTTTTTTTTTTAAAGAGAGAATCTTTTTTTTTAACTTACTTTTGGCTGCGTTGGGTCTTCATTGCTGTGCGTGGGCTTTCTCTAGTTGCGGTGAGTTGGGAGTTACTCTTTGTTGCAGTGCACGGGCTTCTCACTGTGGTGGCTTCCCTTGTTGCGGAGCATGTGTTCTAGGTGCACGGGCTTCAGTAGTTGTAGCACACAGGCTCAGTGGTTGTGGCACACGGGCTTAGTTGCTTCCAGCATGTGGGATCCTCCCTGATCAGGGCTCGAACCGGTGTCCCCTGCATTGGCAGGTGGATTCTTAACCACTGTACCACCAGGGAAGTCCTAGAGCTCTTCTTAATGTTTGCTTTATGGATGAATTTCAGGAAGTTTGTGAACATCCCTCCCCGCCTCATGAACATGCCATGTTCTCTCTCCTGTCCCAGCCTTTTTTGGGGGTGGTTCTCACTGTCTAGAAGGGTCTCTCCTCCACCCTAGTCCACAGCCCCCTCCCCCCACATACACTTCATCCTCTGAATTGTCTTCCCAGAAATATACAGACACTTATTGGGACCCACTTAGCTGACAATTAATCATACTTGGACCTACTTTCTTCTCCAGCTTAGACCTGCCTTCTCTCAGCCAAAGCATAAGCTTTTTGATGTCAGGGACTCAGAAACCACACCTTTTATTCCACCCTGCGCCACACCACCCCCAATGCACATACAATGTGCACACACACTCAAATATACCCTTGTTTCCTTCTGTGTTCCCTTCCTCAGTGAAGACAACACCATCATTCTCTCAGTTGCCGTCCACACCCAGTCCTTTAGGTCACAACTTACACATCATGTCTTCCAGAAAGCCTTCCTCAAATTCTATCAATCTCTGCAGCAGACTGGATCAGGCGCCCCTTCTTGCTGCTTCCAAGGAGCTCTGTGTATCTACGCCATGGGATTTATTATACTCTGTTGTCACACAGTGGCCGTCCATTTGTATCATTCAATAAATGATTCGTTCTGTGAGGGAGGGATGCCAGCCACCTTATCACATAAAAGGCATTCAACAGATACTTGTTGAATTATTGAATAAAAAACTGGAGGTGAATGGTTGTTTTGGTTGGTTGGATGGATCTGAGCAAAACAAAACTAGACAGAAAACCTGTTAGAGCAAATTGTCCCATGCCTCCTGACACCACCCTGAAGTCACTCAGGGATCATGTGCTGGTTGGGGGGATCACTGTGGCACATTCTCTCCCCCTGGATTGGGGTAGTGGCTTTGACTGTATTTTCAGGGGTTTGATGTCTGGGTCCATATGGGTTCAGGTTTGGTAATGAGGCTGAGGATTACATTAAGGCTTGGGCTGGGGAGAGACTCAGCCTTGGGCATAGGGCTAGGGATGGACATAGAGCTGGACCAAGGATATAAATAGGGTTGGGGATGGGAAGAGGCTGAGGATGCAGCCAGGGCTAGAGATCATGAGAGGGCTGAGGCTCAGGGCTGGCTGAGGCTTGGGCTACTAATGGGGATGGAGTTGGAAGTAGGGATGAGTGTGAGGCTGGGCGGGGGCCTGGGTTGGAAACAGGGCTGGAGTTGGGGATGTGGCTGGGGATGGGGCTTCCTCTACATTAACTCCCCCTCCCTGCAGTAGCTGGAGCCCTGAGGGTCCTTCCAGAAGTAAAGGTGGAGGGAATGCTGGGAGGATCCGTTGTCATCGAGTGCCCACTTCCTGAAATGCATGTGAGAATATATCTGTGCCGGACAATTGTTGCGTCTGGAGGATGTGCCACCGTGGTGTCCAACAGGCACTTCGTCAAGAAGGAATTCAAGAATCGAGTCACCCTGGAGCTGTGTCCAGACAGGAATCTGTTCCTGGTGGAGATGACAGAGCTTGTCGAGAGTGACAGCGGGGTCTATGCCTGTGGGGCGGGCACGGACACAGACCGGGGCAAGACCCAGCAGGTCACCCTGTCTGTTCTCAGTGGTAGGTGCCCCACACGATGGAGGCTCTGGCCACCCAGAAAACGTTTCCACTCAGGAAGGCTGGGACAACAATGGGACTGCAGCAGTCCCCACATTCTTACACTATTCCCATATTAGCAAGTCCAGTAGAAATTGGGATCTGTAGAGTTGAAACCTCATAGAGTCAATGAACTTCATGGTCCACCAAATTTTCTATCCAAACTGTATGAAAGGGACAGGATAGGTGCTCTCCTTGTGTGGTATTTTACTCATCCTACCCAGGGCACGAGGCGAGTGTGGGGTGAGATTGAGGAGGGGCTCTGAGACTGAAGGAAATTGGAAGCAAAAGGACATAATTATTACCATAATTGTCCCATGAGAGATATCAGGGATAAATATAAAGGAAAGACAATCATTTTTCACAGTTGATGGCCAAATTTGTTACTTTATGATCTGATCCTTTCTTTATTTCTCCCAAATCCTTCCTTTTTTCTTTTCTCCACTGACTTCCTTAGACATACACAGCACTAACTCACAACCTAGATTCCCAATGGTCTCCGATGGTTTTGCAGGGAATGCC